CTGTGTGTGACAGGCATGACAGGGCTATATGTATTGTGATGTGACAACTGAAAGCTGGCATAGGGGAACAAGAAGGGGCATCCATTGGTAGGTAGCGGCATGGTAAACACATTTCGAAAGCAGTGAATCGACATGCAACATATGGAAGTGGCATTTCCTTTGCGGTCAACACCAAGGCTATGTAACAAGGACAAGTTAGTCATTTAGAGGTCGGAGTCAACAGTTAACAGTCTTGAGTTTGCAAGTGAGCAATGGCAGTCTGCAGTTGACCATGAGGAATCTCCATTGTTAGCAGCCACTACATAGCAATGACAAGTGGTGACAGAATATCAAACAGAAGACTTTGTTTGTTGTGCATTTTCAGTTATTTGTAGAGTGTGTAAATTAGTGAGACGATTACAATCATTTGTATAGTTTGGAGTTACAGGTCTCCCATAAATCCAGTTGTCAGTCCAAACCCTGTGCCTGTTCACTCATGCATGAGAGTATGTTCATATACCTACTTCCACTTTGTTGCTCGTACCATTCTGTCATGTTTTGTATTCTTTAAGTGGTCCATGCATTTGGCTCAGCCAACTGACCACTGCATTTTTTTAAGTGGTAATACCATTACGGCAAGTTAAAATGTGGTTGCCATCACCAAGTACCACAAGCTTTAAAATCCCATTTGCCCTCATGACAGAATTTATTGGTCATTGATTGCATACATCTGTTGCTGATCTGCAAATAGCCATACTTAATTCATCCTTATGTCTTATTTTACATAAGGGTGTTGAGATGAGTGGTCATGTAGCAGAGGTGACAGAGGAAAGAGGGGTGTACAAATCTGTGATACAAAAATTGACAGAAGAAGACCACGATGACCCAGATTTAGATGGCAGAGTAGTATTAAAATGAAGAGTCTTTATCTTCTGGCATATAATGCTGTGTAGTCCATTGAAGGTCAACCAGGCTGTGCTTGGTGCCTGCTTCATGCTGGTTTGTTGCTTGGTTTAATCTTCAACCCTGAAGGTGGAGGTGACATGCTCCTCTGTAACATCACTTGACTTCCAGTGGAGTACACAGACTTGTAACCCAGAAGATAGAACACTTCGTACACTGCTGTGAGAACTTGTACTTTTCTACATACTCATGTGTGCACTCTCTCACACATTCATTCACTCTCATGCTTACCTGTGTGTTCATTCACATGCTCATGCACTCACTCACATGTGCACTTACATGCTAACACACACATATGCCATAGCGATCCCTCAAGGCAATTGTATATCATTGAGAAAGGGATGTTCCATAGCAATTGCAACTCCAAACCCAAATGTAGCATGTAATTACTGTATGAGATGAACAGAGGGATGGTGCGTGCCCTGAGACATGTATGAAGATGCATCCCCTCACTTTCAAGAGCTGTGATTTAGAAGCAACACCGTTAAAAGAGGAAGATGGTATGGCTATCCCTGTAACAGGCTGTGAAGGCCTATAGGGTTGTGAGACGTCGAGGATGCTACGTTTTCTCTAGACAGTCGGGTCACAGATGACGGTGAGGTTGACAGCCTTATGCGCCGGCCCCCCTTTCCCCCCCCCCCCCAGGAAGATAACTGGTACTAATTTCTGTTAGAGGCTGAGTCGACCCCAGAGCCATAGTGCTGCTGGAAGGATTAGGTAAACTGAAAAATTCCAATAGCCTCATCGGGAATCAAATCCTTGACCTTCCAGCTTGTAGCACTTACCACATGCCTCTGGAAGCACACAACATACCTTGATATTTGCCTAGGGATTACCTTTCAAAAATTTAATATAATTTGTGCCAGTTGTCAATTAGCTTATTTGAATTTGTGCCACATCTGTGTCTCCTCTAGGTTTGTCCGGCTTCTCGACCAGAGCCGAACGAGATAACGGAGGGGGACCTGAATTCGTGGTACAAGTCGGATTGGCTCTCAAGTAATCTCCGAACTGTCATCAGTGGGATCAAAGTGGTGCCAGAGCCGGCCGTTGTATATGACAGTTCTGACAGTGAGTGAAGGCAGATACCTTTATCTTCTTCTAACATCATTACTATTGTATGGGTTGATGGACAAAAAGTCTCCTGTGTTTGCTTTCTTCCTACAGTCTTTTCTTTTTTATTTGTAGTTGGCTCAAGGTTCCATTACCTACCTAAACCATCATGTTCTTGCTCATCCAATCAGTCTTCTTGCCTTAAATTTGAATTATAATGCCCTTCTGGGCATTCTTGTTCTGTCCATTCCATTTACATGGATAAACCATTGTAATTATACCTCTTCTGACTTTATGTAATCTTATTCTGTGAGGGACAGAATTAGAATTTTGAAAGAAAAGTGGAAACATATGATTCCCTTCCCAGTATCCTTATTCTGTCCATTCTTTCTACATGGCCAAACTATTATATTCATTTCTGTTCCTACACTTTTAACAAATTTTGAACTTCCCTTTCTCTAAGGGACAGAATAAGAAAGGAAATTTTGAGGAAGAAATTTAAATATATTCAGAAGAAACTGAGTCTGTAAGTGACATACATTCATAGATTTTAAGTAACATTTCTAAAAAGGAAGGAATAGTTCATACGTCTGTCATTTCTGTTCAGAAGATTTGGATTGTATTCTTTGATCAGTTTTCATGCCCACAGTTTGTCATGTTTCATTTACATATTTATTTATGGTATGTTTAACAGCATTGTGTAGTGTTGAATGGTAGGATGGTTAGTAAATAATGAATTTGGGAGGATGTGAAACAGATTGGTTATGGCTTAAGTGTGCATTCTACAGTAAAGTTTCCCTTGTGCTTAATTATCATGCTGTGAAGATGGTATGGGGGGAGTAATGCTATGCTTCATGCACACTTGACATAGATGATGGTGAGTGGTCACTTTCACATTCTGACATGTCACAGATACCCATGGACCAATAGAGGCTGTATGTATCATATGCATGTGTCTGCAGGTGAAATAGAGTGGGAAACATCAGAAGTCGAGGGAGATATTTCGGAACTAGCGGCCAGTAGTAGCATGGTTGGTGGAACGAGTTCAGTGCTGATGCTGGAAGGAACGTCAGTGCCAGCACTTGACATCAACTCGTCATATGGTGAGAACAGTCTGGCACTCACTGTCCCACAGAGGGATGTGGTGGTGGTATCTTCGCCAGACAGTGAGTACACGGTGTTACTCCTGCATGGTGTCCCAAGTTGAATTAGGACAGACAGACATGCACTTCACTAGTAGGATTCTGAAGAATGAGCACTTGTCTTTCAGAACCCTGATGTGCCACACCCCTGCATTGTGGACAGGTTGCATTCTTGAAAATGTGTTGACATCATGAAATCCCATAATGCAAAGCATATTTTTCCTGTGACTCCAATGTTATAAGTGGAGATGTGTAAGGTAGGATAAAGGTAAAGTTGTCCCTATGCTTAGCTAATTAAGCAATATGGCATGAATGTGTATGAGGGTGTGGTTGTATAGATCCATGTTTTCTTGACCTCAGCACTAGTTAGAGGTGACTTGTCAGCTTCACACCCCAAGCGCTTTATTCCCAGGGTAAGAGCCCCTGTTACCCGTTTCATAGGAGACTGCATGGGCCCCAGAGCCGATTTGGACTTCGTGGAGAAGAGAAAATTCTTGTCCCTAGCAGGGCTCAAGAGGACAAGTGTTTCTGTCCATGGTTGTAATAAAGCCACACCTTTCTATCCATCAGAAGCAGTATTTTTCCTTTGGCGCTGCAGCCCAAATTTTGGCCTTGGCCTACGTCCATGAAGCTCTCCATTTTACTTTGTTTTACCATGCCTTAAGCATTCAGTAGGACTCCTTGGGCACATGAACAGCTCATCTCAAGACAAACACAGAAAAAGGCGCATGCACACACACACACACACACACACAAAAACACAAACACAAACACTAAACGGTGATTGGTCAAGTGACATTTGAACCCACAATCAGAAGTAGTAGGTACAGAAAAATAAACTTGAAATGACCTTCAAAATTTCCTTTTTCCAGACATCTTAAGTAAGAGTATTATGTGACTCGGCCTGAAGTTGAAACAGAACAGAAGCCACACTACTGGCCAGCCATCACTCTGCATCACTGACACATCCTTTTGCAGTCTGATTATTTAACAAACAACAATTTATTTAAAAGAAATTTAGGCTAATTTTGTTTTGCAGTTTTTATTTTAGAAAATTAATATTTATCCAGAATTTTCTTAAGGCCAAAATTCCATACCCCCAGACATCCACAATAGGGGTGTAAGAACTGTCATCATGGATGCTTAGCACCTCATAGCTTAGATGAAGGTTGTTTTGTTTTCTTTATTGATAACTTTATTACATTCCACCAACATATTGATTCCATGGTTGTGTATTAGAGGTAACAGAGAAGGGTCCTTGTATGTCTCACTGACTGACACAGCTCTGACAGTTGAACCAGAAGTCCATCATTGAACATGATTCTGGGTCAGTTCAGCCTATGTACCATCACCTCACTGTGTTTTGTTATGATCTATTTGAATATTATCCCTGTGTCACCTCAGTTTTCCTGGTGATTGAAGACTGTCATCATATAGGAGGTGATTGGTCAACCTCAGGGCCATAATGCGGCTGCTATATAGTCTAGTAGGAGTTTACGTACGTTTTGAAGGAACATTCTGCCCCCATCTTGTTTCCCCCAACAGAATTTACATGTCAGTCAGTTATTATAACCTTCCTGATCTTTACACTTTGTTTTGAAAACCTTGCCCATATCCTTTTGAAATATCTTAATGGTGATTTGAACACTTTTAGACTAAAGACTAAGTGTTTAATCCACTGTGTCTGCAATAGGTCCACGTGAAAACGGAGCTGCTCTACCCTCCATACAGCGGCACCTGGCTGTACTGGCTGGAACTGAGGTGGTACCTGCTAGCACTAGCAGTGGCAGCAGTGCAGGCATGTAGCAGTGGCATTTCCCTCTCTTCAATTGTCTGTAATCATTTTAATACCTCCAGTAACACACACTGCTATAATGAATTACACTGACTGTGCTTATACTGCTGAGCAGTGCTGTAGTGGCACTGATGAATGTACTTATCAGCTAGTAGGTGAAGCACCATGCGATGTCCACATGGAAGCTTTCCAATTGTTGAAAATAAAATGGTAAAGCTATCCCTGTAAGAGGCTATGGAGGCCCATAAGGTTGTGAGACATCAAAGCTCCCACATTTTTCTAGACAGTGGGCTCACAGATGGTGGTGAGGTCATCACCCTTACACGCCGACTACCGTAACCCCCAGGAAGATTCCTGGTGCTCATTTCTGTTAGAGGCTGAGTCAACCTCAGGGCCATAATGCGGCTGGAAGGATTAGGTCAATTGAAAAAAAAATCCAGTGACCTCATCGGGACTTGAACCCGTGACATTCCTGCTTGTAGCACAGTGCCTGAACCAACTATGCTACTGTGTGCCCCCTTTTCACACATTCTTGTGTTAGCTAAGTGATTAATTCAACAAGAAGCATTACATTTGCAGAAGAAATTCAGCAGTCTGGGCTGGTGTAGTGTACCTAGAACTGGCAACATCCGAATTCTTCACCCACCTTTATTAACAGTATGGCAGTATGTAGTAGTTGAAGCATGAAGGCATGCATTCGTTGTTAATTCAGGTCTGGTCATCATATACAGTGAAACCCTGATCTAAAGTTTGTCTGGGGGACAAGCTTTCTGTACTGCAAATGGGGATTTTGGAAAACAGCCTAAAATGGTTCTTAGTTAAATGAAGAATATAGCTCTGAACTTTGTTCATTTGATAAAATTGATTTCTTCATTTTTTCACAGTGTCTACATGCTAACTTTCCTCTTCAAGAAATGATGCTTTCTGTAGAATTATATTACATAATGATAATAGAGTCAGCACAAAACTTTCTGCAATTTCATTTCATGACACTGTTGAATTCCTTTCAACTTCCTGAGTGTATGTCACTGTCCCATTTACTGTTCATTTCTTTCTCTTCACTGTCATGGCCATTCGTTACCTCAAAACCAAATCCAGAAATAAACAGTGATACTCTGCACATAGTGTTATGGCAGGGACCACAGAAAATTTGCCTTAAATGTGGGAAGATGTAAAATATCAGTCCATTAAATCAGGGTTTAACTGCACTTGATTTCTTACTAAAATGACAACAGATAAGCGCTTCCCTATGTTTGGCGCTGGGGTTACGCTAAGTAATCTGTTATTACATATTCTTATACACCGTAGCACCCAACACTTTAATTCATACCACACAAATCCTAGCAGTGATACCATTGTTGCCACAGTCCCAGTGGAGGAAATAACTTGGCTTGGACTTGGACCCATGCACTTGGCAGCAAAATTAACAATTCTGCTGGGACTGTCTCTCCTGCACAAGCACCTTTTGCCTTTACCAGTTTTTCTTCTACAATACTGTTCTGGGGAAACGGTGTGACCCAGTGTTATGACCTCATTGTTGCATAGTCCCTGTGCTGTTATGATTCATTGTTCTCACATCCCATTTCCTTTCACACAGAGGAAGTAATGGGAAATATGGTGGCTTGGACTTGACCCCATGCATGTTTTAAAGTGTCTTAAACCTCCCCATGGAGGTTCTCTACCCTCATGACACATTTGGTCGAAATAGGTGCAAGAGGGTGGAAATGTTCAAGGAGAAAACAAGCAGGTTCATGCTCTTCTTTGGCAACATTAAGTAATGCAAGAATCATCATAAAGTTGGGGTCTGTGCTCTTGCATTCTGTATTTAAATGAACTTTGTTGAAAACTCTTAGAGATGTACTTAACAGTTGGAAGAATTGATCTGTAATGAAGTTTCTGTATTTTCAGGCCCAAGCGTTAGCCAACCTGCTCTACCCGACGTCCCCCAGCACCTGGCAGTCCTTGCCGGTACCGAGATAGTTCCTGCTACCAGTACCGGTCTCTCTGGTGCATCAACAACAGACCTGAGTGTAGTGCCGGGCTACCACTACATGCCTAATGCTGTACCAGTAACAGTGCATGGAGCACATAACCAGATCGCCCTGGCACCACACAACTCCTCCGAGGTCGTGCCAGCTTCATCTGGATCTCGGAAGGGATTGCTCAAACCCAGAAGACATGTTACGGTATTTTGCATTTGTTTATATTTTAGAAGCAATTTAACATGGTTTTGGGTCATTTAGAAGGAACCAGGATCCGGGTAGCGTAGTTGGTATAGCGACTGGCTACAGGCTGGACAATTAATGGGTCAGAGTTCAAGTCCCAATAGGGTCAAAAATTTTCTCCACATCATCCAGGCCAAACCTGGGATCCACCCAACCTCCTATCAAATGGGTACCAGGAGCTCTTTCCTCATGGGTAAAGCAGCCGGGGGGTGAATCTGACCACTCACCACCAGCTAGTGCCAAGGCCAAGAATGTGGATCTGTACATCCACTGCCCCATATGCCTTCGTGCTGTAGTGCTTAATTAGTTAAGCACTGGAGCAACTTTACCTTACCTTTGGGTCATGTAGAAGATGTCCTTGGCATGCTCCAGGTTTTTTAAAACTCTTGATAATGTCTTTATTTTTAGTCAGACATCATTTCTGTAATCTTAAGAGCAAAATTCAAAATTGTATATGCAAACCTCATTGTGATGTCACATATATTGTGGCATATAGACCCATTGGTAAGCAGTGAATCTGTAAACATCAGCTGTTGCTAGGTAATGTCTGCAACATGCACGCAACAAAAGAAGTCCAGCGTTTTCAGTGTGGTCCACAGTGCGACAGTTGCTGTGCAGCAGCTCAGTAAACAAACTTCAACAATAGAGAGATTGTATTCTGTGAGCCATGAGTTCGGAGTGATAGGGACAGTCAGTCATAAGCTGGAAGAGCAAATTGAAATGGGGAACGCAGGAGGGTTCAGCAGTTGAGATTACAAGGACGAGAATGGCGCGTGAATTGTGTGGATCAAATACAGATTAGGGCAGAGAAGCACAGAGTGATTGAAGATAAGAAGCCTTCATAGTGATTTGAATTGATATTGTCTGTGTTGAGATCCGTTGCTAGGAGGCGACTAGTTAAGATAGAGAATCCTAGTGCGTGGGCAACTTCATTGTGCAAATCAGCAATAGCGCTCGCTGTATTTAAGTGTGATTAAGAGAGGTTGTAAAGAAAGTGATACTAAATGCAATCATCCGAACTAGAACCTGTCATTTCATCACCAGCCTACACGTGCTGGTCCCTGTGCTTAATTAATTAAGCACTGCGCCATGAAGGCATGTGGGGGAATGGATGTGTGGATCCACGTATTCTTGGCCTCTGCAGTAGTTGGAGGTGAGTATTCAGCTTCACACGCCAGCCACTTTACTCCCTGAGAGAAAGAGCCTGTGGTACTCATTGGGTAGAAGGCTGGGTGGGTCCCAGAACTCGTCTGGGTGAAGTGGAAAACAGAAAGGACTCACCCCTACAGGGACTCTGGCTCAAACCCCTCGGTCATCCTGCCCCTAGCCAGTTGCTATACTGACTGCGCTGTCCTGGCTCCATAAGTTGCCTGTGAGAAATGAAAATACATTTTGCCATAGTATAAGTACATTTTGTTCCCATGCTTATGTACCTACCGTTTTCACCATATTGCATGCTGCATGGAAATATCACTTATATATGAACTTACAAAGGAGCTTGTTGAATGGCGGAAACATGTGGGGATTATTGTTTGTTTAGCATTTGTTCTCTTCTGTTTGGAAATAGTAGGCTTTAATGGAAAACTGGGTGGCCCAATGTTTCTAGACACGTGCAGTAAAAAGAATTCCTCTTGAACAGCTAGAACTGTGCGTTGGTTATGACACTTCAGAATGTGTGTGTGTGTACTTTGTTCCAGCCTGGTCCACCTAGCAGCCCAGAGATAGTAGAAATGAACGAAAGCATAATATCCCTACTCCTGAAGCTTCATTCCCTACTCTCTGGGGCTCCAGACAGCTATAACCCTGATGAATCTTCCAGTAATAATAGTGCTAATCAGTCACCTGACAGTCGAATAGGGGATGGGCCACATTTCATAGGAATGCTGCTTCGACGGATATCAGCCCTGGACCCACTATGCAAGTAAGTGCTCATTGCTTTGGTTTAATACTAAAATTGGATCAGTGAAGTCATATACTTTAAATGCTACCAATATAATGAATTCATTGCCACATGCGCACAAGACCATGCTATAGCTCAGGTAGCTCAGTGATGGCTTCTTGAGCTGCTACAGCTGTCACTTTGTTGAAATTAAAATTCTCTCTACCTCTGTTATCTTCTTCTTAGTGCCTTTGCAGCGAAAAGTTGCAGAACAGCACTTATTAGCTTCACAGTGTGTATATTTGTCTGCTATGTCTACACATGGGAATATTGAGAAGTACTGAACGCATTTTCATTAAGTTTGATATCGGGGTGTTGGGCTAAAATTTGTTGGCACATTTCAGTTTTCCTTAAATTTAAACATCAATAATATATATCTTAGAAGAAGACATACATTCGTTCCTGCACATATCTTGCACAAAATTTGTTAAATATTTCTCAGAGTGAAAAATGTTTGGAGAAAAGTTGTGGAGAGAAATGAAACATACATTTTATACCATTACACTTTTTCTGTAATGCTGGTGGTTTTCAAGATGATAAAACAGAAGTTCTCTAATGTCCCAGAATTCATACATTACGTACAAGTTTTGTAACCTTTTCTTTCTCCCCGTTCGAGAATAAACTTCATCACGGGTCACTCTGATCTCAGGCAGGCAATTAACAGGTAAGAGCCACTTTGCTAAAATTTTCTCAGGCAGTCCTGATGATGGAGACCAAAGAGGTCTGAAACATTGGTTTTTAGTTCAACGTTGACATGGCTGATCACTCAAGAAAAATTTAGCGCATGTTTCTTACATAAGAGCAGATATCATAAAATGTAACAGAGTGCAGTGCAGGTGATTATACTATTGTACTGTTTTTCAGAGATGATGTAAAACAGACTCGGTGTCGTCTGTGGCCTCAGGCGAAGGTACATGATGATGAAGACCAAAGACAAAAAGATGCAAAAGAGAAAGAGAGGAAACAGAGAGCAAAGGAAAGGCAGCAGAAGGTTATGGAACAGTTTGCTTCCCAGCAGAAAATATTTCTGGATAACATTCAGGAAAAAGGTACTGTGCCACCCAAACCAGCAATTGTATCCATGTGTATTTTCATGGGAGGCTTGTTTACATGAGTGCTGAGATGCTAGTGGGAATGGCCAACTTTTATTCAACTGCGCCACACAGATACCTTTCTGAGCCCTATGTTGTGTGACAAAGTACTGTACCCATAAATTAAAAAAAAAACACATTGGCAAGAAAAGCAAATATATCACTGGGAGGAAAGAACATTTCTTTTCATTATAAATAATCTGTCATGTTATAACTGGGTGTGCTTTCTGAGATGCGTGTCTGTCTCTTGCAGATGACGAAGATTTGGCAGGAATGGACTGCACTGAGGAGCAGCGGCCCACGTTATCAGCCAGTATGCCAAAGTACCAGTGTGTGATATGTGGTCAGTTGACGCATAGTACCGCAGCAGAACCAATGGGTGTTGTGGTACTACTGCAAGTGAGTGTCACAAATGCTAGTAATATAGATTGTGATTCTGTGTGCTCTGACGCCATACAATTTCATAGGAGGGTACCACCATTTCAGAGGAACATGCTGCCTCCATCTTCAGGGTAAGAGTAAGATATGGCAATCTGGGCTGTGATACTGTGTAGTATGGTAGCTGGTTATCATCATTTCAGAAAAATCTGTTGCTACCATCTTCAAGGTTATGATGCCATGTAGTCTGATATTTGGTTTCCAGCTTTGCAGAGGAATGTTCTGCTACTGTCTTCAGGGCAGAAGTAAGATTGTGGCCTCCTGGGTTTTTACGCTGTGTAACTTCATAGGTTCTTACCAGTATTTTGAAGGGACATTCTGCCTCCTTAAGGGTAGTAGTCATCTACCAGACTACAGCATCATATCATGATATACAGGGTGAATCGTATATAACTGGCCCGATGAATTTGCTTATAATTCCGCAGGTGATGCATGTAAACACTCACAATTACGACATAATAATCCGGGAGCCGTGCTGAGTCGAATGGTGTGTGCATGATCCGGCAAGTGGCAGCCCTTATGCTGCAAGGTCAAGGACAATCCCGAGACATGTCTGCAGTGCGCAGGCGACAGTCATGGAGTACACTGTTGAATAGCGAGTGTTTCTCATGCGCATGTACTGGGTGACAGGCTCGATTGCGAACACACAATTGGAATTCAAGAGGAAGTTTGGAGTTCGCAAGAAGCCAGCAAATTCAGCTATACAGTCCTTGGTTCAGAAATTGGAAAGGACAGCTCATTTTGTCAGGCCGGTTCTATATGAATCACCCTGTAGAATACAGTGACATAAATCGTCACTGCTGTGAGTCACATCCTTATGGGCTTCCTGGAATTTGGGCCCCAATATTTTATGTGTTATTACTCTCCTGAGATGAACCTAATAGGAGAGGTGATTGAAAGGGATGAAATGGAAGAGATGTCACAGAGCCCCACATTGAAGATCTGCAATTAAAAATTGTTTCAAAGCCATGTGAAAGAGCTTAATCTGTTGGAAACTTCATGTAGTGTGAAGCGTTTGTAATGAAAAGAAACTGAATGCTAACTGACTTACACTTCTGTGTGAAAACGTTGTACCCCTCAGGGCAAAGCGAAAGGAAACCAACACCAAAACAGTGTTACTAGTTGTAAAATGGCAATTTTTGTGGCTATGATAGTATATTTGTACATGTATATATTTAAATTTAATATAAACAGGAAACCGAGGATTTCAGCATTATTTCAGCATAAAACTACTGAGAAAAGACTTGCTGCCCATTTGCACCATTGTTGCCTGAGTGCATAACCTCAGTAACTTTAAAAGTTCTGCAGAGCTAGTTTAATTTGTACTAAGATACCAAACTTGACAGGATAACAGTATGCACTACGCAGCACTGCTATCTGTAGATAAGCCATGAAATTTCTTTTTCAAAGGTGAGCCCTGCATTACAGATTCAAGCACATCTTTCACTATTTATTGTTTCCATGTTTTGTCCCTCTGTGTAACTGCTACCATTTCTTACTACTCACATGCCTAATGTTTTAGCAGCAAATGTTAGCCTTCTGTATACAAGCGTATTACATGAAGTAGAATTTTCAGACTGATATAAACTAAATTGCAGACGAATGCCGTCTTCTGGGATGTGGTGCTGTGTAGATATTGTGTTAACCAACATTTCATACGAATGTATCATCTCCATCTTCAAGATAAAAGAGACCCATGAGCGATGAACCAGTGTGAACAGGTGGCTACAGAGACAATGCGTTCCTATAAAACATCAGTTAACACAATATCTACACGGCGCCACATCCCAGAAGACGGAATTCTTCATAGTCACCACCGTGAAAGCCTCAAATCTTACATAAATTGCAGACCATTGCTGGTTGAGAAATTTTGGGTGTTGTAGTTGTTGAATAACATTACCTGGAAAACATCGGTGAGTCAGTCCCTTGAAGTGACTCTTTGGCATAGCGCTTTCCCCATGATTCAGAAGGCAAAGCACTTCTACAAGCTTTGCTGCACACACTGTTGTATGGTTAAGGGTAAATTTAAATTTGTCCCTTTGCTGAATTGAACGCCACACATTGAAGGTGTATATAAGGGAACTGAGATACAGCTTAATTTGTACATTTGCCTCTAAGTCAAGTGAGTGGTCAGCTTCATGCTCTGGGCCGCTTTACTACAAGAGAAAGAACTCCCGGTTCCTGTTCGTACCGGAGGCTGGCTGGACTGTTGAGAGGGAGAAATTTAAACCCTGCTTCTCTGGTCACTCAGCCTGTTACCTGGTTACTGTACTGTCTGAGCTATCCCAGATCCTGTTACAGCAGTTAATCCTTCTTACACTCTTGTTACATTAAGCATGACATGGGACCTTAATTTGAAAATGTTCTTACCCTGTGAGGTGTGATGAAGGATTGAGGCAGGGCTCAGCATAATGTACCTTGCAGGCTGATTGGCTATTCACATTGATAATGGTTTGAATTCATTTTTATGTAGTCAACAAGTGTCTTGGGCCACAAGCGGCGGTTAACTGATCGGCCAGTATTGCCAACAAGTGAAGAAGAACGCCAGAATCTGTGGAGAGATGATACTCTGGCAAGTCACTTTGACCGCCGTATGGAGGAGCTTAGTCGTCAGTTTGATGCTGTAAGTCAAGATCACCAGCTCATTCCTTGCAAGCAAACCATTTGGCATGTATTATTATTTTTGTTAATGCTAGTGGGGTGGGACTAAGTCCCTTGTACTGCGCCCACTTCTGGCCTATTGTACCAGCCCCAGATGATAGGTGAGGGTGATTGTGGAGCAATTGGTGGAAAGAAGATTAGCAGGGGAAACCGAAGTACTCGGAGAAAACCTGTCCCAGTGCCACTTTGTCCACCACAAATCCCACTTGACAAGACCCCAGGATCGAACCTGGGCCGCCGAGGTGGGAAGCCAGTGACTAACCGCTTGAGCTATGGCGTGGCCCATTTGGCATGTATGTTGTGGTAAAGGTAAAAAGGTAAAACTATCCCTGTAACAGGCCGTGAAGGCCCGTAAGGTTGTGAGACATTGAGGCTCCCACATTTTCTCTAGACAGTTGGCTCACAAATAGAGGTAAGGCGGTCAGCCTTATGCACTGGCCACCCTTTACCACCGGAAAGATACCTGGTACTCATTTCTGTTAGAGGCTGAGTGAACACCATGGCTGTAGTGCTTCTGGAAGTATTATATAAATTGAGAAAATCCAGTGACATCAGGAATCAAGCCCACCTTGTGGTTTGTAGCATAGTGCTCAAGCAACTACTCTACTGCATGCCCCCATGTATGTTATGAATAGTTGCACAACTGTGCCCATTAGTTTTGCCATATATATCTTCTGCCTGTCCACATACAACAACTTGAGGACCAGTACAGGCTTTTCCAGAAATTTGATATTGGGAGTTGTAATAAATTTGTTGACAGATGTTCATCTTTGTTAAAATCAGACAACAAACAATTGGCATGGAGGCTCTATTTGTGTCTTCATGCATCACGGTCATAATTCACAAGTATTTATCAACATGGAATATCTTGAACGAACATTCTGTGCCAAATACACTTTTTTCTGTTAGTCTTAGAGTTTTCAGAGTAATTCAAGAGGAGAAGACACATTATGTGTTTTTCACATACATATTACTGTTGTAAATGCAACATTTATTTTTTTTATCCCACATACATCTTATCTTACTATATGTTTTGGCTGTATACGGCCATCATCATTGAAATTCATTGAAATACAGCTGTTAACTATGTGTTGCACTGCAGTCAATGGCACGGCATGGTTATTACTTGTGCGTAGCCATGGGTATAGTTGTGTGCAGTTGCCAATGTGTTTTGACAGTTAGATGAAATGTGAAATATGTGTTGCTGTTGCAGCTGTTATGGCAGTTGACAGTGAACCTTGGTTGGGAAGGTGGTATTTATGTGCAGACTTGCGGTCATCACTTGCATCTGCAGTGCCTTTCATCGTACCTCAACTCTCTGCGCAGTCAGCAGCGGCAGCAGAACCTGTCTGTTGAGAGGTATAATTCAGTCTTTGTAGTATTGTTGTTTTTTTAGATCTCTCCCTTCGTCACACATGTCGTCAAAAAGTTTCTCAGTCTACTGCGTATTAATGAAATTAAAAGCAGATTAGATTTTTGAAATGCTTCCAGTCATCCAATTTAGAATCTTTCGCCTTCACATCTGCTATCTAAAACTGTAAAGATTAAAATATATAGAACTGTAATTGTACTTGTTGCTTTGCATGAGCACGCGACTGTTGTGTGTTATTTGTGACGTCTCAACATCATCACCTTTGTTTTTTGAACATAGCAGTGTCATACAAAGTAATTAGCTGTAATCAATTTACATGCAATCAAAAAAAGGATATGCATTTTCAGAGTTCTGTGTTTAGGGATATAACATCTTGTAGTCTGTTGAAAGTCATCTGATTTTTCAGAGGAACATGTCACCTCCATCTTCAGGTTCGCAGAATAAGCTGAGCAAGAAACCAGTATAATGGACTACATGGTGTTATATCCCAGAAGATAAGAACCACTGCTGTGAGAACCTAAAATCCTACATATATTTTCATTCGGCCCAACCCCAACCTCTCCATGCTCCCACAACCATGGGCTGTATACAGTATGAATCTGTATTTTCAGACTAATTTTGAAATAAAAAGTGTGATGTGTATGTGTGTAAATACAGTACATTATCAACCCGATGTTATGCAGATATTTCAGTATTCATCTTTATGCCTAACTGTACATGTTCACTTAAAGGTCTGATTTCTGCCCTTAATATTGTGCTTGTCATTGGTGTCACCAGTATTTTGTATAAGTATATACTTTGACTCCAGGTTTTATCACATTATTCAGTTTAAGTGTTTGTGTTTACATTCCTGTTCTCTCCTGCCATGTTAGCTTACTGTTATAATTATTGAAATATTTTAATTCACAAAAAATGTGTTGGTATTTCATTGCGTTGATGTCTTTTTGCAATGTCACGTGACTGTCGTCATACAAGTTAATGATTAAACTGATTCTAGTTCATGAAGGAAGAAGGTTTACATGTGAAACAAATTTGTATGTGTCTGTTGTTGACAGGGGGGAGTATCTGTGCCCTGTGTGTCGACAGCTTTCCAATTCAGTACTGCCATTGTCTCCGCAACTCGGGGAGTGTTCAGCTGTTGTCAGATCTCAACCGGCCAATCTGGATTCTTTAGCCATCGAGATCATCCGTTTGCTCAATGAAATAAAATGTGCTCCAGTAAGACTTTGTTGTATATTTCATTCACAGGATGTACTTAATACTTATCAGGGAGTTGGTATTTGATGGGCAGTAAATGGATTTCTTCTTTCTTAGACAAATAATATTTGCCCTCTCTCTGAATCACTGACATGGCATCATTTTATATTAATTTCCCTCTCAGTTGGAAGTGCCACGAGAACCTCAAGTCTGCGAGTTACAGTATTTACATAATAGTATAAGTGAACACAGAATTGGAAAAACCATTCAAATAGAATGACCAATGAAAGAGTACTGAACCAGGTCCCTGGAATTGAAGAGAACTTTGGAAAAGATGGACTGGGTGTGTGAAGTTAGAACAGGCTTGGTTGCATATGCAGTGAATTGAATGACTGACAGTGACTGGTACTGCTACTGACTTCTTTATTTCTACATACTGGTGCAGCGGCCAGTCAAGAGAGTCAGCAGGAGCAGAGAAATGAGAGTGGAAGAAAATCTTCCTGGGGTAATTTTCTTTTTATCCCTGGTGGGGTGGGATTAAGTCCCTTGTACTGTGGCCACTTCTGGCCTATTGTACCAGCCCCAGATGATAGGTGAGGATGATTGTGGAGCAATTGGTGGAATGAAGATTGGCAGGGGAAACCGAAATACTCGGAGAAAACCCGCCCCAGCTCCACTTTGTCCACCACAAATCCCACTTGACCAGACCTGGGATCGAACCTGGGCCACCACGATGGGAAACCAGCAACTAACCACTTGAGCTATGGCACGGCCGTTCCTGGGATAAAGGGAAGCCAGCTGGTGAGGCTGAGAGCCTCATCGTCAGCTGTGAGCTGATTGTGTACAAAATGTGGGAGCCTTGACATCTCAGCCCTGTTAGTCTCCATGGCTTGTTACCGGGATAGCTTTACCTTTACCATCCACTTATGTTCACAGTTTCTCTCAGTAAAACGGGCATATCTTTGGTTATGAAGGAGCTGAGCCAGTTGCAGGACTCAAACACACTGATGCTCATTGTTGCATTTAGGTGGATGCATCCATTTGTTTTGGTGGGAAACTGACAGTGTCTCCATGATGCCAGGCAGTACAGTTTCTGTAGTTAATTGCAGATAAAAAAAGTATTTCTAATAAGTGATACAGTTAGTGTTACAGTGCAAGTGGTTAAACTGTTAAACTGATGCTGAGTAGTCTTGATACTGACAGTGCCATTAACCATGTACAAATTTGAGTAGTTAAAAAATAACAGTGCATTTAGGTTAGTATATTTGCATTTATGTTGTTCTTGTGTTCACACACACACATATTTTAAATGGCTTCCCAAAGTTATGGTGTAAAACAGTGGACATTTTTCTTTAATTTGCATCTTTCTCATTTCCCATGATTGTATGCTTGTTTTAGAGGAAGTCCCTTCAAAAGTTTAAAAATTCAGCTTTCACTATACAGCTGGCTCATCTTTACTGCAGGATGACTCATCATTAGGAGAAGCACTGGGGAAAGCAATGGAAGATATGACAAATAGCACTTACCACAAGTTTAAGCAGAGAAGTCGTGCACCCACATCACACAGTGTGTTTCTGTTTGTCACCTCCATTGCAAGGACGAACCTAGAAGTGGAGCTGGTGCAAAAAGGAAATTCTCTTGTTACTTGTGCAAGCAGTTGTGGCTTTGCGTCTGGCAGTGCTTCTTGGACTGCTGATAGTGGTTTGGGCGCCGCATCTGGTAGCGTGTCTGGCACGGACACCGTCCTCATTGACAATATACCAGTACCACTTACATCTAAACGCTCTTGTATAGGTGAGACCTTCGTTTTGATCACTTCCTGAATATCTTAACCTGGCATGTGTAAGAATGACTTTTTTTGTTCAATGCAATTTTCAAAAATTTCAAGAATCGAGAAGAGAGAGAGAGTTCATTTGTATGAGAAAGAAAGCATCATGATTGTGAGAGAAAGTGGTCTTTGAAATTCCGTCTTTATGTATGGATGTGCACCGCAATAGCGCCTCAGTTGGATGGATTTTATTCATATCTGTTGTTTCATAGAGTTCATTATAAGTTGATACACAGTGAATATGAATATCCCAACTTCAAAAATAGATACCCTTCAGATAGACCTCAGAACACAGAAGCTGGTTCTAACAATTTTGATTAAATTTAAGATATTTATTGAACCAAACTCTGTAAATAACTTTGCATATGTGGCAGGTATCTTCAGGAAAATAATGGTACATGCAGTAGGAGTCCAAACACAAAATGGGCTTTACTTATTAGGTAGAAGCCATTCAGTATTCAGTAACCAGCAATGGTCTGCTCAACAACAGTGGATTTAATTTTCATGTTAAAGTAGTCAAATTCACTAATGTATGAGATAGTATGTGCGGTGTGTCTGCAACATTTTTCTTTCATTGTAGTCACAAATATAACACAAGCCCCTTCTTCACAGTGCTTGAAAATATGCTGCATATCTCTTTTCCAGTGAAAATTTTAGTAAATCATTGTATACAATAATTGTCAGTTCTAGGGTCAAGTAAGTTTGGACCATGAGCATAAAGAGGGCATGACAGATTTTATTGCCAGATGTGTTCATGTTAGCATTGCCAATGATTACATTCTGACAGACCAGGCAGTTCATGTGCCACTGCACAAAGCAAAAAGCAGGTACCTGAGAATTTGCAAAGTTGAGGCCGAAAAATTAGTATTAGTATTTAGATTGAGATGTTTTCCAAATTCATTCCCAAAAATCTGTTGTAAGCGCCTCTTGTGAACTGCCCCTTAGTCTGGCAACAGCCCTCTTCACATTACAAATAACCTGACTGTTACACAGCACAATAAATTTCTATGCTTTTCCAGTAATGTACAGAATATAACAGTTTCCCTATTTAATATTTAGTGTGTCAGTGTTAAATTTCCGCCGTTTAGAATTTTCCTCATTTCACTTTTCAGGTGTATGCTTCCTGATGAAAACATAAATGGGGCTTTCACTCTAAGCTTTTGTTGTCTTATGTAATACATATGAAATAGGTTTTCATGGCAGTGACTATGAAGAATGCTGTCTTCTAGGATGTGGCACCGTGTAGATCTTGTATAAACAGACATTTTAGAGGAACGTCAGTTTACACAAGTTCTGCACGGTGCCACATCCCAGAAGACGGCATTCTTCATATGAACTACCTCTTACACAACTTGGAGTATTGAGCTTAAATAAGGATAAATTTTTATTCATTAATAAAATATTATTCTACCATATTATAATTGACTAAAATTATGAGGATGCTAAGAAGCAAAAACAAACAAACAAACAAACAAACAAACAGCTTTGGCCAGTAATTCAGTACACAGAACTGTGGCACGGTGGAGAATTGTTATTTCCAGATTTAGAATCAGCTTATCAGTGTTAATCTAAAAATGTAGTTTCTTCTTATCATACCAGAAACTGATGTTCTCAGATTCGTTTTTTTTTTCAGTACAGTCACTTACTAAGAAATGGGAATAGATCAAACCCAAAACAAAAATTAAGGGACAGCCTGTATGGTAACCTCGCTGGTACAGAACCCTAAGTTTCAGTATGAGTAATATTAAAATCCACCACTTGACACAACCAGAAGCAAGTTTTGTATACCTTTTCTTATGATTGATTTTAATATTAATCCTTCTGTCAATGTGTCGAACTTACAGAAGACTGCTTTCCCAATGTTTCCTTATTGAAATCTTGCAGACACTTGTTTCCCAATTCCACCTACATGTGCGTCCTGTCATAACCTTTCTTTAGTTGAAGACTGTGTTGTAAACATAAATTTTTAGTCAGAAACCCTGAAGGAAGTCGATCACTTGGTGTATATAGATGAAAAGCAAGATCTTATTGAAATAGACTTTGAGTATGTAGATTGTGGCCATCTGCCTTAGAGTAGGGTCCAGTTGCAGATGCTTGCAAACAATGTAATGAAGCTAAGGGTTCCAGAAATGCAAGAATTTATTGGCCCTCTGACTATCAGCTTCTGAAGCAGGACCCTCCTCTTCTCTGTTGAATTGATTATTTATAAATAACAAAAAATTAAAAGGTATTTACATCCTTATATCTTGTTACAGTGCCCCTCCTGCACGTGTTAGCTGTGCATAGTCGTATACTATTATCCTGGCCAGTCTGGCATACATTTGAACAGTTGGCCGGAGTGTGGTTAGAACCTCGAGAACCTCTGGCTCTTACACCGTATGAGAGAGAGGTGCCCCTCCTGCTGCAAGATCCTACTGCACTTCTAATTCAGTTCATTCTGCTGCTCCCTCTGCATGTAGATCAATGTAAGTGAATTGAATGGTTTGTGAAATGGGATCACACTGCACTGCAACTTGACATGTGTCAGTGTGACACTATTCCAGCAGATGGCATTGCTATGTTTCAGCACATGTATGCCATTTTCAGGGCCTGTTTATAGTTATTGTTAACGTATTATACACCTAGTACAAATTTATTTGTAAGATGAGTGGATTCAGCAGTGTGTTATATACTATATGTGCTGGCATCTGCTGGGCAAATGTCAACTGTGTTAATAATATCTTCCTTAGTCTATAATCTTTGGTGTACAATGTAAACAGACCAATTCAGCTTCAGTTAATATGCTTTGTGAGTAGATTAGCATTTCACAAAAATGAACCCTTTGTGTGGGCAATGTGTATACTTGAAAAATTGTTTGAGTGAAAAGTATAATCTTCAGGGATGTAATGCAGTACTGTATGGTACTTTTGCACTGAAGAGAGGGGCAGAATGTAATTTTGTAACACTGGTAAACTCCTACGAAACCTTAGAGTGTCAATCATGAAGATGACAGACTTCATTACAGTGCCAGCTGTTCTTCAAATTCTTCTATTTCCATATCAGTGCTAACAGAAACTGAAAATTAATAAATTTGAAAGTGTCTTCCATTAAAATAAAAGTTCAGATAGTTAATTCAGAGACTAGACTACAGGCTGGAAGCACAGGAAATCAAGATTTGATTCCTTGTGGGGGCAGGAGATTTCTCTCTTCACAAGAACATCCAAACTGGCTGTGAAGTCCTTCGAGCCCACTGTTCAGTGGATGCCACATTGCTTTTTTCCCCTGGGAGAAAGCTGGAGCATGAAGCTGGCCACTGACCTCCACATATTACAAGGTTAAGAAAATGTGAAGCCATACATCCATTCCTCTGTACTTCCTGGCATGATGCTTAAGTATGCACAGAGGCAAAGTATACCTTTATCTTTTCAATAGGATACTTGCATACAAAAGCAGAACATGGTACATATGAGGATGTAATATAGGATGATAGGTACCAGTGGTTCAGAGAAACCTGTTGCCTCCATCTTCAGGACAGAAGATTAAATCACACAAGAAAATGCAGTCAGTGATATAGGGAAGGGACAGAGACTGAGGCTAAGAGTGAAGCAGTGAGAATGTCAGAACTGCGTAGGCATGTTTTCTGTTCAGTCTATCAACTTATTCCTCTTGTATGTGTCACAGCTATCTTCTCATGTATCGTCAAAGTGTTGTACAACCTGCTGTACGTCCAAGTCGCAATGCAGCTGAGCTGTCATATGACAGATGCAGAACGAGCTAAGTGGCATGCCTCTCAATTTGGACAGTTAAGCAGTCATGAAGGTATGATGTCACTGGACTCGGTGATGGCGCTCATCATCGGTCTTCTCGAGCAGACTCACTTGTACCAACTGGAGGACCAGAACTGCAGTGTACGAGAGACAGGAACCAACATGGTTGTGTCGCAGGCCGAGAGGGAGAGAGTGGAAATGAAGGTTTGTGTTTATGTTCAAAAACTGTACTGATACTGTGTAGTCTCCATACTGACAGCAGTGCTAAATAAGCAGCTTCACTCTTGCATGTTTTATACAGGAGTATAACATGCTGTCTCATATTAGGGGAAGAAAATAGATTATATATATTCCAGAACAAGGGTGCAGAGAAGAATATTTGGACCAAAAGGAAAGGAAATGATGTGAGGCTACACAAAGTTATGTAATTAGCAGCTTCATAACTTGTACTCTTCAGCAGATGTTATTAGAATTGTCAAAACAGGAAGTAACAGTCTAAGGGTAACGTTCCCACCTCGTGACTCAAGGTACGCGGGTTCAAACCCGGGAGGTCGTGGAATTTTTAAGGGTGGAAAAATTCAGGGAACAAGTCCTCTGGGAGGGACTTTAAGCTGTGGGTCCCATGTCGTAGCTTTACGGCACGTAAAAGAACCTCATGTCCCAAGGGGACCTCTGAGCCAAATTCAGGACATTTCCCGCCCAACAATAGTGTCTTAACGCCTCTGGTAGATGGGGGAATCATGGAGATACCGCTGAGCCAGTAGAGGCCGAACTCGCTGGCTGAGTCGGGACTGATGGTACGCACCAGTACCAGTAGGATATAGAGACTGGTAGAATATCGCAGGGGGACGCACAGTGGACCAACAGTTGGTCTAAGTGCATGGGGAAACCCACCCTCTCCAATAACAACAACAACAACAGTCTAGGGGGTCGCATGATTTGAATCTTGGTCATGGGACCGGCCATCCTGACTGAGCCTTTTGACAGTTTCCTCAGTCCTCCAGGATACTGCCTTAATTTAGGCTGTGGCTACTACTTCTAGCAGTCTTTCCAATTCATTATTCACTTATTATACACTGTGAAATTAACCATAAAATAAATATTTATGTAATTTTTGTTGTTTGTGCCATAGATTCAAGAACTGTGTTTACCATTCCTGCGAATAGTAGCTCTGTTGCGCCATCATCTGTACAATCAGAACCTTCCGGACATCACCAGTCCAGAATCTGAGTTTGTGGGACTTGTGTACTACTTAGAACTGGTTACTGAAGGAATGGACTTGAACCGTTTTAATGCGGCAGTTGCACTCAATTGGCCTGCGAGTGGCAGCGAAACTGGTCAATCTTGGTGTGGGGAGCTGGTTGTCTTCGTGAATCTCAGCCAGATATCTGCACATAACATTCTTATTGATCATCATATCACGTGGCATCGGCCGCGACTACTTAGACTACCTCACTTGTATGATACTATTTTCCAGGTATGTACCGTACTGCTCTATTTTGTAGACCCAGAACCTTTCAAGAATGAAGTTTATTTAACTGCTTTTAGACGCAAATACTATCTTTCATTAATAGTGTCATGTGTGGTTATTTACATATGGGGATGCGACATTTTTCTGCCCTTCTCTTGCCCATGTGAGGATGAGGTGAGAGTTGATGTTTTCTTGTGAAGATTATCCTCTTCTGGGATATGACACATTGTAGCCTGATGGAAAGGTACCGTTACTTTGGAGGAACCTCTGCATCCATCTTCAGGGGTGTAAGAGTGTTTTGGCTGTGAGTGGGAGAAATAACATTTGAAAGCTCACCGGTGATGTATCCAACACTGTTGCACCTAGCAGGTTGGCTCAACTCGTAACACTTCCAATTTATATTCAGGACGTCCCCAATTTAAATCTCGCCCACCATACCGAATATGCTGGCTGAGGTACTTTATGGTTTTGTCTGGTTCCTCCAGGCAAATCCTAGCATACTGCCTTGTGTAACTCCAGAGTTGTGATCTTTTCAGTTATGATGTAATCTCATAGGTTGGTACAAACATTTAGGAGGAAAATACTGCTTCCACATTTAAGATAAAGGTCTTCTACATGATGTTCAAATTCATACAACAACAGTGTAAATCCTTAGAATAGTGAAAACTTGAAATGCTTAATTTTTTATTTTTGCAGTATTACCATCGGAAACAGTGCAATCAATGCCATTCAGTACCACGTGAGATCAGTATTTGTCTGCTTTGTGGAACGGTGGTCTGCCTTAAGGAGTCATGTTGCAAGCAGTCGAATGTGTGCGAGGCTGTGCAGGTACATGTTTGGTGCATGCTTGCTGTCAAATGAAACCTGTTCATATGTTCAGCCATGTGGGGACCATGATTTGGGTCAGATACAGATGTTATGACCACAGTGGTGTCGTACTGCAAGCAGGGCTTTGCAGAGGGGTTCCACTGGCAGGTACATCAGTGGGATGCCTGCCCCATTGCCCACGAAGACAATTTTTTAACAGCTATTACTGCTTTGTCTAGAGTAATCCCTGAATGGGTGTAATTTGAACGACCCTTATAACTTAGAGTTATGAATCGCAGATGCATATTGCCGAAACTGATGTGAATAAACTGGTGTACTCTGATAATGGTTTATGTGTGTTATTCCAGCATTCTATTGACTGTGGAGGGGGCACTGGAATCTTTTTAGTAGTTACTTCTTCATGCATAATTGTGATTCGGGACAAACGTGCTTGTCTTTGGGGCTGCGTCTACTTGGACAGCTTTGGCGAGGAGGACAGAGATCTCAAGTAAGATTCCGTCTCGTTGGACGCAGTTCAGCTGCGAGTTACATAGTAACTTAGAGCAGTATTTCTTAACCAGTATTTTGTGATGTTTTGAAATGAATGTCATTTTAATTGATTGTGCCCTGCATATTTTGGCTCTTTGGGCATCGCCTGGGGTACATAATTACTGGGGTTTTGGACTTTTTTCCATCCGGAATTCTAGGTAACAGAGGAGATGACATTTCGGAAAATTGATCTGTTTCCGTCTTCATGTTCTTAAAGTGAGTGCATGAGTGATTGATTATTCTTTCTATCTATAGACTAGTATATAGCCTTCAGCTCTTTCTAAGGGGCTCAACTGAGTGGATGTCTTCCTTTATCACGTGAAGACGGAAACAGATCCAGTTTCCAAAATGTCATGTCCTCTATTACCTAGAAGTCTGGACGATGGGAAAAGTCCAAAACCCCAGTAATTCTGTTTGTCATCCACCATCATCAGAACCCTTTAGAATCCTCTGGGGTGTTCATCAAGTGTAAAAGATACTGAAACCCTCCCAGTTCATTGTCTGTTCCATTAATAATATCCAGACATGACTGACATACCAGACTGGCCATCCAAGCCATGTGGGACAACTTGTATTTCACATGTAATTATTTGATCTATAGTGTGAAATCCTAGCTCCATCACCACTTATGCTGTTGCCTTTATCATATGTTTGTTGGGCTAATTTTGATTTCTTCATCAGATTCTGTTAAAAATAATGTTTTGGTTCTCTGAGGCAGATCCAGTTTCCAAAATGTTACATCTGAAAAATCTTGGAGATAATGGAAAGTGTCCAGAATAATACCCATGTCTATTGTAATGCACTGTTATCAGAAGCATTTGGACATACCATTAGACTTTCAGTTGTGATGCACCTGGTTTAGATCTCTGTATTTAGCATTTATGAAGTACTCTTTGCTCTAAATGATATTGCTGTCCTTTCTTCCAGACGTGGAAAACCCCTGTACCTCAGCAGAAGTCGCTATTGGCTGCTGGAACAACAGTGGCTTTCCATTCGTTTCGATCACACGGTCAGGAAGTGGATATGGCATCGTGATGGACTGTGAGGCAAACCTAGTTACATTAGTCAATAAAGTAAGTTGTTGGAGTAGTTGAGTGATCATCACCAAGACTTCAGCAGCCACGAGATTATCGATCTAACACTTGCCGTTGTATTTCACACCAAATAGGCTAGTCCCTTGAGGATACATTTTTATATGTGAACAAAAGGGCTGCATGAGTTGCGTGGAAGATAGAATTTCAGAACAGCAGGTTTTTAAAGCGAGTGCATGAGTGATTGATTATTCTTTCTATCTGTAGACTAGTATATAGCCTTCCACTGAATGGGTTGGTGTAGCTGCAATGCTCTAGACTCTTGGGAGATGCCAGGTTTGAACTAAAGCTGGGGCACAGCTATACTGATTGAAGTTTTTATGGTTTTGCTCAGTCTCTGCAAGAAAATTCTTGGATAGTACCTTCAGTTAGGCCACAACCGCTTTGCTTCCAGTTCATCTTTCATCATTCTACTGTTCAACACCGTATAGTCTGACAGCATTGTAAAATAATTCACAAAGGAAAAAGAGCAGGTAACCTCTTGAAAAGTCACTTCTGACATCGCCAATGATCCATTCTTACAAACTATAACCCTTCTGAATATCCATATTATGAAACTGAAAGTTTCTGGGTAGACGAAGATAACGTTTGAGACTGCAGTATTGACTGAAGCATAGATAACTTCACTGCCATTTATTATGGTCATCATCTGGTCCTGTCATTAACTACTACCCACTTTGGTTATTAGCAGACATACATAATGACAGAAAAGGAATCATGAGCCCCTTACATGTGCAGTATACTCCTGGCCACAATTTTCAGTCTGTGGCTTACCCATGTGCCTTTTTGGGAGCATCTGCTGTCCTCTGGTGCACCAGTTAAGTTCCATCCATTTGTGTGTATGCATGAAACAATCGTAGAACTGCTGGATGGATGTTTTATGAAGTTTGATGTTGGAAGAAATTTAGAAAGAAATATTTTAAACAATTTTCGTTTTCAAGAATGCTGTCTTCTAGGATGTGGCGCATTGGCCGTGTATGTATGGTGTGTTTCCGTGAATACCCCTTCACTTAGCTATGGTGGACTGTGGTAATAATGGACACCCTGTTCCCCTATTTGTGCATTATAACAAGAGTTTACTGTACTGGTTTTGTCAGTTATTGCAAATGCCTTCTATTTGGCTTTATTTTCCACATTTTAGGCAAAAAGAATTAATTAGTAAATGGAATTCCACATTATATACAATGCTGGCATTGCGTAGATGTTGTCGGTAATGAATTTCATAGTAAAAGAAGTGGATGCAGCTACCCAAGCCCAGCTTTGAGCATGAAAAAGAGTATCAGCAGTTGGTTGAGCTTGTGCATGTGAGGTCCAGATACTTTATAGGCATTGGTATGCCTGCTTTAGCATGTGTAAGGCAGTGCTCGTACTTTGAATTGGCTCGAAACATGAAGTCAGGTAAATTCCCATTCTCGAGGCTCGAAAAATAAAGTGCCGATTCAGGACAAATATAAGTTGTATATGAGAAACATGAAATTGGTCACAGTTTAACATTGCTCTTATGGGCTTGTGGGTGGGATGAGTGAAGTACATAAAATTGGAAAAATGTAGAATATAAGTGCACAAATTTGAAGCTTCACTGTAGTAAACACACTTTCCACGCAATCTTACATTTGCCTTGATCTTGTTGGCTTTTTTCAGGGCACCTTAAAGTGAGGTAATACATTGCACAATCTGAAGTAAGGTGGGAGTCGACACTACGCAACCAGCCATGCCCCTGCATCGTTAAGCTAACCAGAGGACCAGCTATATGTATCCTGGTGTGTCACTAACGCGTGGACATAATGTGATCTGAATTCCTTGATAAAATTAATTTTGGTTGAATTTGTTTTATATCCTCTGCTTAAAAAAAGAATGTAATATCCCAGATTTCTATAACAGCAAAGTTAATATCCATATCTTGAATTTCATGGTCTTTATAATTTGCATAAGGATGACATTCTGTAATGCAACTGTCATAACCCATGGGCACACTGCTGCGTCAAAATATTGAGTTTTGACCTTTTGTAGGACTAAAATCTTGTGAGGTAATATTTTCAAGTGTTGAATTGTAACTTTGTATATGATTTGAATGTTCTGATGCTTGTTTGAAGAACTTACTAGGTATGCACGAGAATAGCTATCAGTTTGAAATGAGAGTCTGTAAAAAATTAGGCATAGGAAGAAAATTTTGTCAGCTCTCACATGCTAAATATTAACCATACAAATTTAGAAGATTGATGATGGAAATTCTTATATCACATTTCTTTTGATAATAATATGTCGTCATAAGTTCCTTGTTGTGAAAATTCCATACTTGTGCAATTTATGAAAGGAACAACCATGTGAGACAGACAAATGTAAGAAGTATGGATGTTTTATTTTAAGAGGAAGGCATAATTGGAGTCACAGGTATAATTTCATGTAACAGTTGTTTTTAAATATGTTTTACACATTTTGCTAATAAACTTTGAAATTTAAGACATACATATATAAGTGCAGTCCTCCTGAAAAATTAATCTAGTAATTTATGCATATGAATCTTGAAACTAAAATGTCTGGAGGAATATGCAAAAGTTCTATCAATGCCATGATTGTATGACAGGAATTACGGATTTTAAGTTGGTTAAATCTTTCAGTGATAGGTTCTAAATCTGTTGTATTTTCACTGTCTTATAGGTATTATAGAACATAACAGTTTGTAACAAAAGCTGTTAATATGCCCTAGTCAAGGTAACTTTCTAGTTAATATTACTGCAATGATTTCCAAATTTTATGTTAATGGTGCCCCTCAGCTTAGCAAAAATATTATTGTCCCCCCTCCCTATAACTTTTTGTGTATAAAATGCAGCTTTTTCTGTTTTTTCAGATCTAAAAACACATTTCAAATTCTTATCAAATAGTAATACTAATCAAGATTTTAGAAACATGCAAAATTACTGGATTGAAGTTTGATGTTACTGTATAACTTCACCAGAATATCCCATGCCCCCCCCTCAATCAACTTGTCACACCACACCAGGGAGAGATATTCCCCACACTTCAGAAGCCACTGTATCAGTAACCAATTTCCCTCTTCTAATATTTTTCTCTTTTATACACTTGGTCTTTTACGAGACCTTTCTCTCATGACATCAACAAAATGTCTATACATTTTTACTGGTTCTGCATGCTGCATGGATTTGTCACTCTTTATGTAAGTAAATCATCATATTTCACAGGTAGTAATTTTCATGCTTCAAGTTATTTCAGAGGTTTTCTGTTCTTGCTGCTTGCTTCTTGCTGGTTCCTTGTTGCATATTTGCTTGCTTGGCTTATTCTTCAGCGAAGAAGATGGAGACAGTACATTCTTCTGGACTGCATGGTGTCACATCCAGGAAGACAGTCTTCTCTTGTCGCTTGGTTTTCACACAATCTCAGCATCTTTGCATCCCATGCAGAAGAGACCAGATTTGTATGACTCAGTAACCCGCTGCAAGTTGGTATTAATTTGTGTAACTGCATATGTTTAATATTGCACTCCTTCCCTCCAGAACATACAAGGAGGAATAGCAATAGCAGTCTGAACTGGTATTCATGCGGTGCTTGGTTTGAACCTCAGTCAGGACAGCAGCTATCATATTGAGGTTCTCCATGGTTTGCTCAGTGCCACCAAGCAGATGCTGGGTTGGTACCTCAGTTGGATCGTGACCACTTTTTCAAGTCTTTTCCAGTTCATCTGTCATCCTGCCATTCCGCACTGTATAGACTGCAGTACTGAAAACACAATAAAATAACCTGCATGAAAAACTTCAGCTTTAAGGGTCTTCTAAGTTTGAATATCTCACTTGATAATTTAATTTTTTTTTTTTTCATTTTTGTGTGCATAATGCCATTCTGAGTCATAGTATACTCATTTCATTTATTCACCTTCCATAAAGGTATATCCTGATATCCGTACAGTGTGTTAGGTGTGTACCAATATTTTTGCAGAACATTTGTCTTCGTTATCTGTCCTGAAGATAGAAGCAATATGTTCCTCCAAGACATTGGTACCAACCTAGAAAAGTGCACGGTATCATAACCCAGAAGATAACAATATGTTTTTTCGTACCACGAAAACGTCAAATCCCATACTAGTCATATATACCCCTTTTTCTTTTTAGCACACTGTATGAATTAGTTTTTGACACTGTGGTCCTCTAAGAACCGCTGCCTTCTTTACAGCACACATCCACTGTTCTCTAATGTTTGCCTTGGCTTCCATCTCTGGTATGTCCCACTTTTATTATACCTTGTGACGTCCTTCAAAAGAATTTCTTAGCCGCCCTTGTTTGATCCGATCCAATCACATGCCCCAGCCACTCCATCTCCTGCAAATATCCATCACTCAATCCAGGTTAGCTCAGTTGGTAGAGCAATGGGCTATGGGCTGGATGGCCAGGGTTCAGTTCTTGGCAAGGGAAATATTTCTCTCTTACTCTCTTACTCATAACATCCAGACCAACTCTGGAGTCCGCCCAGCCTCCTTAAAATCGGGAAGTGGGGCTCTCTCCTCAGGGGTAAGGCAGCATGGGCATGAAGCTGACCACAGACCTCCATCTAATGCTGAGGATAAGAATGGTGGAGCTACACCTTCACTCCCTCATGCATCTTGATTTAATTAAATGCAGTGACATTTCCTTTTAGGTTTTAATTCGCCAAGTTATTTATTAATTGTGACTGTCCTTGTAACTGGTACATACGCCATCCTTAAAATTTTCCTGTTCAGTATGTATATAATTTTATTTATTTCAGTCTCACACAGTGTTTTGCATGCATGTGTTGTATTGACTTGTAGAATTAATCTGTTGCTATTCTCTGTCAAGTGATGCCATGGTACCTGGAATGTAAACTCTCTGAAACATGTAAGATTTGAGGTTTTAATGGCGATGACTGAAGAATGCCATCTTCTGTGATGTGGCACCATGTAGATATTGTGTGAACTGATGTTTCAGAGGAATGTACAACCTCCATATTCAGGGTAGAAAAATCCATGAATGAGGAACCAGCATGAGTAGGCGGCTGCAGACTGAGCCACCAGTCGAAAACACCCAACTATATAAGAACAGGAAGGGAAGGAGAGTGGGTCAGATGGGAAATCAATAGAGAGGAGAGGGGAATGGTTTGTAGGGATGAGCGAGCAGGTAGCAGGCCAGGGCCAGTATAGGGTCTTGTCGGGGCGGGGGCTCTTTTGAGGGCACATCATACCGTGAGTAGGCAGCTGTGCAAAAGGAAAGTCCCTCATCTTCAACAGAATCTCAGAAATGGCACTATCAGTTCCCATCATATACATAACTTCCTAATGGTGGTGTAATGACATGTGCCACTGTATAGTGACAATGAGAACAAACCCTCAGAGATGTGTCTGAACATTGCCTGTTATATTGCAACATTCTCTTGCACTGCATAGAAGCAGTGAATGAAGTCAGACTTGTCATTTTGCACCATTATTGTTTGTTGGTTATAACATTTGGTTTGGTCAGTCACAGATTGAACATGGGTCTTCTGCTTTCACACACAATAATCAGGGCTCATAGTCTTTGTCATTAAACTTTTAACATGAACGAGTTAATACATGGCATAAGACAGAGAAAGTAACAAATGTCATGTTTTATAATAACTATTAGACTGGTTAGACATGTAGCTTGCATAGAGGATAAAAGAAATATCTAAAAAAATTGTCAGAAAACCGTGTCTGACCAAGATGAATAGTATCGTCTGTCTTGTGATGCTGTATAGTGCTGTAGAGTTCACCATTCTGAGCAATGTTTGTCTGAAAATGCTGGTGAACTTCTACTGGACTACGCAGCATCAGGTCCCTTCATTGTCATTGCTGTGAGAACCTCAAATTCAGTGTGTGTGCCTGCTTCAGAGAATAGGTGTAGATATGGTGATAATATAGTGTGAGAATGTGACCTGGATTCAGTGGCACGCTTCTGTGAAAACATGGTCCTGCTCCTTCACTTTCCATAAACAAAGGAAAATCTCTTGCCTATTGCTGTATATAAAATTGAATGTGCCTTTATTGTCAGGGATCCATCTCATCTGCCTTTATTGTGAGTTTGACCAAATTGAAATGTATATAATTTATTTATACATATGTGATATAAGTGTCTGTCACAGGTTAGGTACATGGTCTGACAATAAAGTTAGCGAACTCATCGCGGTAAGAGTGCCACATACCTCACTGCTGAATATCACTGTGGTCACCTTCAAAGTACTCCCCTTGGGAAGCTATGCACCAGTGCCAGCACTTAGCATACCCTTCAAAACAATTTTGGAACTGGTTTTCTGGAATGGCCTTCAGAGCAGCTGTCATATTACTCCTGATGTCATCACTGTCATCAAAATGCCTTCCTTTCAATATTTCCTTTATCTTTGGGAACAAAAAAGTCATTGTGGGGCTAGATCCAGAGAATAGGGAGGGCGTTGCAGCATGGTTATTTATTTACTAGCTAAAAACTCCCTCACAGACAGTGCTGTGTGAACAGGTGCATTGTTATGATGCAAGACCATGAGCAGTTGGCAGAAACTTTGGGTCATTTCTGTCTAACTTTTTCATGCAGCCTTTTCAGTACTTCCAAATAGTAAACTTTGTTGACTGTTTGTTCAGTTTGTACAAACTCATAAACTCACTGCTGCAACAGCAAGCACACGGCGAGTTCACAAACTTTATTGTCAGACCCTGTATAACTTGAATGGTAAGTAATGTTTCTTTCAGTATCTTGTCTTTAATTATTAGAGACATGTGGAAATTTTCATTTTTTTTCTCTGGACCAGGGAGACACAAAGAAACCTGTGGGCAAACAGGAGTGTCCAGTGATATACTTGGATTAAATTGTGAACTGTGATTGACCAAACTGGGAATGAAAGTTATCCCTGTTCTTAATTAAATAGCATGCAATAAAGACTGGAGGTATAATGCCACACATACATAACCTTGACACTATATGGAAGTGAATGGCCAGCATCATATCCCAAGCACTTTGCCCAAGAAAAAGCCCTTGACACCAGTTGGTTGGAGCTGAACGCTGTGGAGAAGAGAAAAAGCTTACCCTGGAAGGAATTGTACCCTAATTCCTCAGTTTTCCCACCTGCACCTAGTCACTATACTGACTGAATTATTCCAACTTCAAATTGGGAATAAAAAGTAAATCAATTTTTTCCTCCAGTGTTACATGGCATGTGTCCCTAAAAGAAGCCCATGGATTAATACCATCATGAAAACTTTTATATCCACAATTGAATAATTCTTCACGCTTGACACTGTGTAGTAAGAATTGGCAAGCAAGGAAATGAACTTACAGTACAAGTTTCAAATCTTGTCTTTGTCTTGATAAATTAGTTACATGTAGATTCTTCATTTCTGAAGTCAAAACTAGGGCATAACAGCTGATTGTTCATGACATTTAAGAATGATCGCATGCTCAAAGATCCAGTTCTGATTCTGGAAAATTATG